TGGACATGAGCGGTATGCAGTCTGTACCTAGGCCGCCACGGGTGGCCCCCCTCACCACGTTCCCTCGGGACCCGGTGTCTGGCCTATTCATGCCGGACACCGCGTCTCCCCCGGTAGGGGCGTGCCACCAGGTGGTTGCGATTACCCAGGTCGCTACGGCTTGCTCGTATCGGTTGCTCACTCACCGTCGCTACTGTGGCACCACCGTCTAGGTCACCCCACTCTCCCGTGTCTCCGTCACATGTCCCAGCACGGTCTTGTCTTAGATCTCCCTTCGTCACGTCCTTCCCTCCCTCCCTCGACTGAGCCTCCGTGCAGGCCTTGCGTCGAGGGCCGGCTGTACTGTGCTCCTCACTCCTCCTCGTTTCCCCCCACCACTGCGCCGCTCCAGACCCAGCACTTGGACGTGTGGGGCCCAGCCCCTGTCCCTGTGCCGCGTCGCGAGCGCTACTTTCTGGTGCTCTTAGACGACTACAAGCGCTACACCACGGTGTTTCCTCTGGAGCGGAAGGCCGACGTGCCTGGCATTCTTATCCCGTGGCTTGTAGCTGCCTGTGTCCACGGCGCCCTGCCAGTGCTCTGTCTCCACTCCGATCATGGTGGTGAGTTTGCTTCCAGTCGGCTAGGCCAGTTCTGTCGTGTGGAGGGCATCACCCAGCCATACACAATGCTAGACTCCCGGCAGCAGAATGGGGTCGTTGAACGACGCATCGGTTTGTTGATGGAGGTGGCTCGTACCTCCATGATTCATGGCAGTGCACCGCATTTTCTGTGGCCGTTCGCCATGCGCTACGACGCTCACCAGCTTAACCTGTGGCCGCACTCCCAACAGCCACAGGTTTCGCGGACCCTTCTTAGGACCGGGTCTCCTGGTGACGCATCTGAGTTTCACGTCTAGGGGTGCCTCGCTCACATCCGCGACTCTCGCGTGGACAAGCTGACTGCCCGCACTGCTTCCTGTGTCTTTCTTGGTTTCCCCCTGGACGTGTCTGACTGGCACTTCTACCACCTGATGTCTCACCGCTTCTTTCACTCGCGTGACATTACCTTTGACGAGTCTGTGTCCCTCTGCACCCGCTTTGCCCACCGAGGTCTCCTGGTTACCCCTTCCTTGTTCCTTGTCCCCACTCGCTTGGTAGCTTCTGCTCCCCATCCGGCAATGTCTGGAGTGTCTCAGGTCACCCCCCTTCCCTCGGTTTGCCCTGCGGAGCAGTCTACTAACTCAGGGCCTACCACCTGCTGCTACGACGCCTGCCCCCTTGACCCCAGTGTCTCCTCCGCCACCGCAACAGCCGCAGCCGCAGCCACAGCCCCCGTTGCCGTAGCAGCAATAGTAGCCACAGCAGGGGTCAGTTGGCTCTGGGGGTGTTGGCTGTTTGGGTGCTGGTTCTAACGGGGTTGCTCGTTCTGGGGGCGCTAGTCCTGGGGGTGCTGTTGTGGCGAGTCTTAGCGGTGTTGGGGGTGGCGCGGGTGCTGGAGAGGGTTCTAGTTTTGAGAGGGCTGGTCCTGGGGGTGTTGTCGAGGCGAGTACTAGGGTAGCCGTGGTGAGGCTGGAGGTCCAGGCATGGACATGGAGCAGCCGTAGCAGCCGCAGTTGCCGCCGGTGTCTGCCTTTTGCCATCACGGTCTTCACTCCCCTGACCGACCGCCCCCGCCTCCCCCGGCTCCGCCTCCTCCTCATGTCCACGGTCCTGTGTTCAAACCGCAAGACTCGTCCCCAGCTCGTTTCCCTCCTTGTTCTCCTCTTGTGTCTCCTCCGTTGTCTCCTGACCCTACCCCCCCATCTCGCTGGTGGTCTCACTGCCCCTCTCGTGCTCGTCCCGACTCTTTCGCTCTAAGTGCCCACCTAATGTCTCTCCGTTCTCACGCATCTTGTGCTCCTCTCGCTCTTGTTCTCCCATCGCCTCCTCATTCATCCCTCGCTGTCTCCCCGCCTCCTTTCTCTGACTTCCTCCGTGCTGCTCGCCCTCTTGTTCCTCGTGTCCTCACCTCTCTTGTTACCGACCCGTCCGTTATTGTCTCCAGTCTCGACGATGCTAAATTCGCCTCTTCCCACCGCCTTGACTATGCCACTGCTCTGGTCTCTAACCCTGCCGATCCTACGTCCATCCGGGGTGCACCTGCCCTTGGTAGTGACGTCCTAGAGGACACGCAGTACGAGCCAGCTTTCCTTTCGGAGGCTGTTCCTCATCTCTGCTCCCCAAACGCTCTTCAAGGTGAAGAGCCCTCCTGGACAGCCGCTGGTGTTCAAGGTGCGCTACATTGCTAGAGGCTTCAGTCAGCGCGAGGGTGTTGGCTTCCTTTAGACATTCGCCCGGACCCCGAAGACCTACTCTTCAAACACTGCCTCACGACTACGAGCTTCACTCGCTTGACTTCTCCACAGCATTCCCCCACGGCAGTCGGCACGAGCAGATCTACCTACGCCGTCCACTAGGCTTCATAGGCAATTTCCCTCCTGGAATCGAGTGGTTCCTCTGCCCGTTTACGGTCTGCGGCAGGCGCCCCATGAATTGCACAACATGCTACGTGCTACACTACCAGACCTCTAGTTCTTTCCGTCCACTGCTAACCTGTGTCTCTTCATTCGCTCAGGCCAGACTCCGTTCTACATCCTAGTCTACGTAGATGACTTGGTCTTCGCTACTGCAGATAGAGACGCGCTGGCCTCGGTGAAGGCCGTGCTGCTGAGGAGACACACCTGAACTTGTAAAGTATTGACCAGAATTTACTGAAGAACAAGTTGATAATTGAAGGTGTACAAGCTACTTTTATATCTGCTAGAAGTACCTATTCGGTGATGTACCTGTTCGAGCTATTTGCGCTATGCACTCTAACTGCTACTGAAAAGAGCGCAACTGTTCGCTTGATTGAAACGGCTTGCTGACGTAATCATCCAGACGAGCGCTATTTGCTGACGTCATTCTACGGATGCTAACTACAGTGTAACTCGACAATATCTATCGGAATTACATACAGAAATGCAAGTACGATTTTACCACAACACTACCCGTTATCTAGCCTATATTGTGTGTCAACTTATACATATATTGTTATGTAGAAGTTATAGGCTAGATAGGGTATGTTCTTAGTGGGTACAACCCAAACGCTATATCCCCCGTGTTCTCCCTTCATCTATTAATTCTTTCTAGTCTTACAGCTAGCGCTGGCGGCGGGCGGCTAGCACTGCTAGCGGCGACGGCTGGTGTTGCTGGCGCTGGCGGCTGGTGGCTGGCGGCGGGCGGCTAGCACAGATAGCGCTGGCGGCTGGTAGCAAGCTACTGGCGCTGGCAGCGGTAGCTGGCCCTGGCTGGCTGGCACTGGCGTTTGCTGGTGCTGGCGGGCTGGCTCTGGCGTTGGCTGGCGCTGGCGAGCTAGCTGGCACTGGTTACGAGGCGAGCAAGGGGGGGAGGCGATCGACGGGTTCGCGACGGGCCAGGGAGGGCGGCGAGCCAGGGAGAGGCAGCGACGGGTGTGAGCTGATGGCGCTAGCTGGTCGGCTGCTGGCTGGCGGCAGCGAGCTGACAGCAGAGAGCGGCTAACTGGCGGCTGCTGGCTGGAGACAGCGAGCTGGTGGCTGCGGGCTGGTGGCAGCGAGCTGCAAGCTAGCGGCTGCTGGCTGGCGGCAGCAAGCTGGTGGCGGCTAGTGGCGAGCTGGCAGCAGCATGCTGGCAGCGGCATGCTTGCAGCGGCTTGGGAACGAGCTGGCGGCGGCTAGCTGGCTGCGAGGTGGCGGCAGCGAGTGGGTGACGGGCTAGCTAGCTGGGGAAAGATGAAGGGTAGGGGCGGCTAGGAGGTTGGGGGGAGCGGCGCGATCCTAGGCGCTAGGGGCGGAAAAAGGAGAGTTGGGGATCGAATTCTAGCTCTAGATGCCATGTTAGAATAGCGAGAAAATTTAACTAGGAAGGGAGAAGGGGGGGATACAAGTACACAAGTGTTATCCTCCCTAATACCGTAAAAGCCCGGATAGTAGACCCCCTAGTAATAGGAGACCCATGGTCTTGTATTAGGCATCTATCTTGTATTCAGAATTCCCGTTTATAAAACACCCTCAAGGGGGTATGAGATAATACCCTCCCTTCTTTAGTGTTTTTTATTCCCGCAAAGCAATAACTGGGTCTCGCACAAACGAGTTTTATTGACTGAGAGGATGAAGGGTTGGGATTAAGCCCGAGCGGGGTGTTGTTGCAGGCATTCGCATCTTCATCATGTTGTGATATAATTGATACTTAGCATTTCTGCAAGTCGATTAAGTGTAGTTAGTGTCGAATCATACTGTAGAAGATAAGTCCGTAGGATGACGTCAGCAAATAGCGATCGTCATAGGACAGTCGTTTCAGTCACGCGAACAGTCGCACCTCTTCATTATCATCTAGGGCGCATAGCGCGATAGTGACGAACAGGTACTTTAGCGAATAGGTACTTTTCGTAGAACTATAAATACTTGTTAGGACTTTTCATTATTAATTTTGATTACTCACAAGTTCACGTACTCGGGTTATTCAACCTTGACCTTGGTGTTTTACAAGACTTCCGCTGTCTTACTAGTCTACCATTCCAGCAAAGATCCTGGACCAACACTTGAGGATTTGCCAAGTGTTCATGTTTACAGCTTTATACTTAGTCTACTACAACATCACACGATTTATTTCATGGTATGAGAGCTATCTTGAATTAAGACTACCGTCAACTATGACTGGTCCATCACCAGCACCATCTGCTGGATCAGTTACTGGGACTACTGGAGCACATGCCTCCACTACCGCCGCTGGTCTCTCAGCCTCTGGGCATTTTCCACCAGCCTATGCTAATATCGGTATGCAGAATCCGCCTTCTGTGAATACTCCAGGTGCTCCATCGACTGCACCTGCAGCGCAACAACAACAATCACAGACAACAGCACAGCAACAAGCATCAGTTCAGCCACCAGTTTCAACACAATCGATTTCATCTGCGTTCAGTGGAATGAGCCTTGACGGCTCAAGTTACATGCGTGGAGCTACAGCTCCAAGTTGCAGCAGCCGCAGCAAGTACAGCAGCCGCAGTACAGCAGCCGCAGTCGCAGCAGTTTCAGCATCCTTTCTATATCTTCGGTCGTTCTCCTGCTCAGCAACCACAGCAAGTACAGCAACAGCAGTATCAGCAACCACAGCAAGTACAGCAACAGCAAGAGCAACAACAGCAACAACAACAACAACAACAACAACAACAACAACAACAACAACAACAACAACAACAACAACAACAACAACAACAACAACAACAACAACAACAACAACAACAACAACAACAACAACAACAACAACAACAACAACAACAACAACAACAACAACAACAACAACAACAACAACAACAACAACAACAACAACAACAGCAACAACAGCAGCAACAACAACAGCAACAACAACAACAACAACAACAACAACAACAACAGCAACAGCAACAGCAACAACAGCAACAGCCAGGCATTGTTTTTCAGCCTCCAAATTTACTTAACAATACTCAGATCAAGACAACCGTACCTTTTAATGGTGTTGACTTCTACTCCTGGAGCTTCGAGTTTGAACTTCTTGCGCAGTCCGCTGGGCTATGGCCGTTTTTCACTGGCGAATTTACGTACCCTGTCGTGGGAACACAACTGGAGCAGCAGAGTTTTTTACACGCATCTCTCGGGGCGTATACAGTTCTTGTATGGAACTTGTCGCCGAAGGAGCAGCTCGGCGTTCGATCATTTCACTCAAGTTTCACACGAGCCGAAACTGCATGGAATCATCTGAAAGGGGTATACATGGCAAAAGATACGATAACAGTGAGTAAAATACTTTTGCAGCTGACAAGTGTGCAGATGATGACAAACGAAAACGTCATGGACTACGTTAACCGTGTCCATACACTACGAGATCAACTGGAAAAGAGCGGAGGATACTTCCCTCGTAAGATGTATCTCACGGTACTTCTGGCTGGTCTTGGACCCGAATGGCGACAGACGCGCGCCTTCCTGCGCATGAATCCCAATCTCTCCGAAGCTGAAATTTCTTCTTATCTTCAAGCAGAGCAGCAAGATCTTGACCTGCAATCACAACGAAATCAGAAAAAGGGACTTCATTTAAGTTTTTACTCCAATCCAGATCAACAGCATCGACATCCACCAAAGTATCCATTCTGCCACTTCTGTAAGAAACCAGGACATACTTACCAAAACTGTCGCAGCCGTCATCAAGCTCGTCGCACAACTTCGCAGCCGTATCACCGATCGCAGCAATTACCGAAGACACAACCAGCCACAGCAGCAGTTTGTTAATTGCACATCATCGTGAGTGCATATCATCCTAATGTCCTGCCGTATGATCATCTCATTCGTGCATGCATGTGTGCATGAGCATATATCACATTGCTCGCCATCTTGGTTATTCTCATCATCCTGATTTTCTCCCAAGATTGAATGCATGGAAAATGCAGGAGAAATCATGAGCATTCCAACGACCCCAAGATCGCCCCAATCTGACCGATGATGCCGAAGTTACAAGAATCCCAAGATTGGAAGTTCTAATGACAAATGCTATACCTCGGGTATCTCATGGGTCTTATATTGGGGATCTTGTGGTTAGATGGTTGGGGAGAAAACTTTGACTTTTGGTTGGGGTGGCTTGGTTGCTACAAGCCAAAATGTGCAAGTGTTGCAAATGTTGCAACATCTTGCCAAATCCAATCTCTTTGGATTTGGCATGTGTCCTCACATGGGCAACTTGGAGAGGGGCCTATGGTGTGCTTCTAGGAAGGTTCTAAACCATTCCTAGACATCAGGAAACCTTGTTTCCCTTCCAGGGCCCTCTTAGAGGTCTGAACCCCGAACCATGTCTATATGGTTGTGTGTCTTGCAAGTTCTATGTACTTTCTAAGGCAACGACCAGCAGTTACGTTTTGATTCAGTTCTCACTCTAGAGTTAATCTTTTCACCTGATTTAAATTTCAGATGATTCTAGACTTATAGGCGCGTCCTTCCATCGAGCAGATTGGCGTTTGGTTGAGTTGAGGTTCTGCTTAATTCGTGCAAAGTAGGCCAATCCTATCAACAAGTGGTATCAGAGCCAGTACCTATCTTTGCAACAACGAATCATGGTCATTTCTCAACCAATGTCTACGAGTAAGACCTGTTTCGAGTAGCTCAGGTTGCGAGCTTTCCAACGAGCCTATTCTCAGGTCTTTATGCAAAGGCGTGTGTTCGTGGCGGCGTTTCTTGTAAAGCTGAACATTCTGCCAGAATTCTGCCAGATTCGGTTTGTTACGATTTCTTCATTCCTAGAGCTAGCAGATGTTGAATAGAGGCTCTGTAGGTGCTGAGGGCGAGATGGCACGTGGAGTTAGAGATAGGGAGCAAGGGGGAGCTGCTGGTGACGGTGCTGGAGCTTCACAACCGAGGGGAGAAGCTCAACAGCCTTCACTACCCACGTTATCTACTCCATCTCCACCATCCAACCCTACCGTGAATCCTATGAAGGCTTTCTCAATTGAGAAGTTCATAGGGGAGGGATTTGAGCACTGGAGCTTTCGAATGCGTCTCATGTTTACGCATTATCATCTGCTAGAGCTCGTGGAGGGAAGGGAGAAGATGCCGGAGAACGCGGATGACCGTGGCTCATGGATAAAACGCTCGTTCGACACGTACATGCTCTTGGTGCAAGCGGTTGGAGGGCGCCAGTTGGATCACATCAAGGAGCTGCTTGGAGATCCCGAGTGTGGACCAAAGGCATGGAAGAAGCTGCAATATATCCACTCACCAACTCACGCGACCGGCATTGTGCTATTGGCGCGTCGATTGCGCGACATCAAATTCGTGGATGGAGAGCCAATGTAACCGGTTTTGGATGAGATGCGGGATATCTTCTCCAAATTGCAAGCGGGAGGATTGGTCTACCCTGAGCTCGTGCAGTGTGTGGAGATTGTCATCAGATTGCCGGAGTCTTGGTCTGCTCTTGCTATCAACCTCAACTCTCAGCAATCCCAGTGGAACTTGGAGTACATTCGCGCACGGATCTTGGAGGAAGATCTACGGCGACAGAGTGTGGATCGCTCGGGGGATGCTGCTGGTTATGGAATTGGAGGAGGGAGGAGTGGCTTTAAGAAGAAGTGGAAGGGCAAGAAGAATGACAACTCTCAGGAGGAGAGTACTGGAGGTCAAGACAGGAGTCAAGGAGATGTATGCTTCTATTGCAAGAAGCGCGGTCATCGCTGGAGAAAGTGCTATCAACGGCCTAAGGACTGGACCCCACCTTCATGGACCAATCAGCAAGGAGGCAAAAGGAGTGGGGGAGTTATCGGAGCTGGTGGAGAGGAGGATGAGGAGGAGAAAGGCGGCAAAGTGGGTGAGCGGCGGCCCGGTTTCTTCTTCTTTGTGAACGAGGGTGCTGCGGATCCAGCAATGGCTGCCAAGGTTCTTCTACACCCGCTATCTCATTGCGTCATTGATTCTGGAAGCTCCTGGCACATGACTCCTCGTGTGGACCTGCTTGATGAGATTCAGCCAGCACCAATTGCTACTGTCACATCCGCTACAGGAGCCAAGGCTAAAGTGATGGGCATGGGGCGTGCCATGTTTGTGGGTGCGGATGGCGAGTTGGTGGGCTTGAAGGAGGTGCTTTGGGTACCAGATTTGTGCACGAATCTGATTTCTACCGGCCGTTTGGGAGATGCGGGCGTGAACACTGAAACCATCGGCTCAGAGCGCTATCGTGCTTATAAGGAGAGCCGACTCATTTGGGACCTGCAGCGTAATGGTGGAGTCCACCGGCGCATGTGGCAGATTCCCGTGCTCCCATGGCCTAAAGGGAATGAGCCAGCAGCAGCAGCAGCAGTTGAAGGAGCCATGGATGATGAAGATCATGAGGAGTGTGATGAGGGGCTGATTGCGGCGGCTGGAGCAAGTGCGGCTGTCAAGGCATCGGCAACCTCTGGACAAGCCTCTTGGGAGACATGGCATAGACGTCTTGCACATGTGGCTGTTTCTACATTGGAGGTGATGGCGAGAGAGCAGAGTGTGCAAGGGCTTCGTCTGCATGGAGGCAATGCTGATTCTCGTGACTGCGAGGTGTGCATGCAAAGTAAATTTGCACGTTTTCCTTTTCATAGTGGATGGTTCCGCCAAGGCACCATTGGAAGTGGTGCATATGGATCTGGTGGGTCCGATGCGGACTGAGGGCATTGGTGGAGCCTTGTATTTCCTAACTCTGGTGGATGACTGGAGCAGATTTACATGGGCGCGACCTTTGTCAAAGAAGAGTGATGCGGCAGCGGCAATCAAGGAGGATTGGTTGCCAATGGTTGAAAGGCAGTCTCAATGGTTGGTGAAGGTGCTGAGGAGTGATCGTGGTGGCGAGTTCCTAGGAGCAGATTTCACTGCTTGGCTCAAGAAGAACGGCATTCGACACCAACTGACCTGCCCTGGAACACCACAGCAAAATGGCATTGCTGAACGAGCCAACAAAACCATTGGCAAGGCGGCCAAGGCATTGTTGAGGGATGCTGGACTTCCCTACAAGTTCTGGCCTGAAGCTGTTCGCCAAGTGGTGACCGTAAAAAATAGAGTCTTGACGCATGTTGGGGAGCAGCATTGGGTGCCCTATGAGCGTTGGCTTGGGAAGAAGCCGCTTGTAGATATGCTGCGGGTGTGGGGCTGCATGGGGCTTGTGATGGTGCCAAAGGAGCAAAGGCACAAGCTTGAGGTTGCTGCAGTGTGGGCCGTCCATCTTGGGATGGCCCCCGACTCCAAAGGGTGGCTGATGTGGGACCCGAGGAGTAAGAAGACCATTGTGAGCCGCGACGTCAAGTTTGTGGAAAATGTGATGTACAATGACTGGCAGCAGCAACAGCAAGTTCAGATTGGACTGCGGCTGCAAGAGCTCCAGAGGTCAGCTGTGGAGGAGGTTCAGCCGCACCTTGATGATCGCCCTGAGTCAGAGCTGACCAGTGACCATAGTGGTGGTGTCGAGCAGCCCACTGTTGGAGATGAGCCTGAGGAGGGGCTCGAGGATGAGTCAACGCGTGTGGACTCACGATCAGTGCCTATGACTGCTCCACCAGCTAGGGTCACTAAGAGGAGTGCACAGCGAGGCGCGTCAATGCAAATGCAGCAGAGTACAACTCGTGAGAAGAGGGCAGCAGCGCCACCTTCAAGGCTAGGGTATAGCCGCTTGGGAGGACCTAAGCAAGGTGCGATGGCGGTTCAGGCGGATGAGAGTGATGATGAGGAGAGTGCTTTCTGCTTCTTCACCACTCTACCTAGTGATCCAGCCACACTACATGAGGCATGGACTGGCCCTCTGAAGGCAAAATGGAAGCCTTCAACTGATGAGGAGTTCAACAGTCTCATTGAGAATGAGACATGGGATCTTGTGAATCTACCTAAGGGGCGACGAGCCATCGGCAATAAGTGGGTCTTTAGGACTAAGACCGGAGCTGATGGCGAAGTGGAGCGGTACAAGAGCCGTTTGGTTGCCAAAGGGTTTGAGCAGAAGGAGAAGGAGGATTACAAGGAAGTGTTTGCACCTGTTGCTAAAACAGGAACCTTGAAGACCTTGCTGGCCATTGCTGCTGTGAAAGGTTGGAGTGTGAAGCAGATGGATATCATAATTGCATTCCTGAATGGGGTGGTGGTGGAAGACATATATATGGAGCAACCAGTTGGATATGAAGATGGGACTGGCAGAGTGTGCAAGCTTAAGAAGGCAATCTATGGACTTAAGCAAGCTCCAAGGTGCTGGTATGAGAAGCTAGCAGAAGTGCTCCTTGCTGGAGGCTTCAACACCTCTCAAGCTGACCACAGCTTGTTTTTGCTTGGTGAGGGGGAGCAGCAGTTGTGCTTGTTTATCTATGTAGATGACATCTTGCTGTTCTCCCCATCCATGGAGCAGATTGAGAGGACCCAAAAGCTGTTGATGGACAGCTTCAAGTGCAAGATGCTTGGGGATGTGCATTACTACTTGGGGCTGCAGATTGAGAAGGATGTGGAAAAGAGGTGGCTGAAGATGCACCAGCACAAGTACATCACTGGAGTGGTGCAGCGGTATGGCATTCTTGAGGGTCGTACTGTGAGGACACCTCTCCCTGCAGACTTCAAGCTGAGGAAGGCCACTGAAGACGATGTGGTACTTGAGGAGGAGGAGATGAAGGAGTACCATTCTCTGATCGGGAGTGTCATGTATGCAGCAGTGCAGACAAGACTCGATGCTTCTTTTGGAGTGGGTTTGCTTGCGAGGGTTGTGCAACAACCCACTGCTGAACACTTGGAAGTTGCAAGGAGAATGGTACGCTACCTTGGATCTACAACATCTGCTGAAGTTCAGTTTTCTATGGCTGGACAACTGAAGCAACCTGGAGCTGAAGGGGTGAAGCCCAGATCTTTGAAGCTTACATGCTTTACCGATGCAACATGGGCCTCGGAGGATGAAGACTGCTCATCCATTGGAGGCTTTGTTTGCATGATTGGAGGAGGTCCAGTAAGCTGGAGGTCAAAGAAACAAAGTGAGATCACTCAGTCTTCAGCAGAGGCGGAATATATGGCTTTGTACCATAGAATTAAGGAGATCGTGTCCCTGCGGAAGCTGTTGGAAGATATTGGCGAGAAGCAGGATGGCCCTACGCCACTATTCACTGACAGCAAGGCTGCTATTGGGATGGCCACTAATCCGATACTGAATGGCCTCAATAAGCACATGAAAATCAAGTGGCACTGGGTGCGGCAGATGGTGAAGGAAGGGGTTGTGGAACTTCACCATGTGAAGGCAAGCAAGCAAGCGGCTGATTTCCTAACGAAGCGTCTTCCTGAAGATGCACACTGGAAGTGTGCTAAGATGTGTGGAATGGCATTGCACTAGATGTTCCAATGCATGAATGTGATGGCATGGGCCTGGTTGGATGAAAGATCATTTCCACATGCATGTGTGTGCATTCCATTAGTCTGAGGGGGAGTTTGTTAATTGCACATCATCATGAGTGCATATCATCCTAATGTCCTGCCGTATGATCATCTCATTCGTGCATGCATGTGTGCATGAGCATATATCACATTGCTCGCCATCTTGGATATTCTCATCATCCTGATTTTCTCCCAAGATTGAATGCATGGAAAATGCAGGAGAAATCATGAGCATTCCAACGACCCCAAGATCGCCCCAATCTGACCGATGATGCCGAAGTTACAAGAATCCCAAGATTGGAAGTTCTAATGACAAATGCTATACCTCGGGTATCTCATGGGTCTTATATTGGGGATCTTGTGGTTAGATGGTTGGGGAGAAAACTTTGACTTTTGGTTGGGGTGGCTTGGTTGCTACAAGCCAAAATGTGCAAGTGTTGCAAATGTTGCAACATCTTGCCAAATCCAATCTCTTTGGATTTGGCATGTGTCCTCACATGGGCAACTTGGAGAGGGGCCTATGGTGTGCTTCTAGGAAGGTTCTAAACCATTCCTAGACATCAGGAAACCTTGTTTCCCTTCCAGGGCCCTCTTAGAGGTCTGAACCCCGAACCATGTCTATATGGTTGTGTGTCTTGCAAGTTCTATGTACTTTCTAAGGCAACGACCAGCAGTTACGTTTTGATTCAGTTCTCACTCTAGAGTTAATCTTTTCACCTGATTTAAATTTCAGATGATTCTAGACTTATAGGCGCGTCCTTCCACCGAGCAGATTGGCGTTTGGTTGAGTTGAGGTTCTGCTTAATTCGTGCAAAGTAGGCCGATCCTATCAACGCAGTTAACGTCTCAGCAGCCGTAGATGCCGAAACCGTCGCAGAATTCATCAACGTCGCAGCATCGCCCGCCGGTCTTCGCATCTGCCACATCAGGAAAAGGGGTTTTTGGTTGTGTTACAACAGTTGATATTTCAGAAACAGATTTCGAGACACGATTTGAAAAAACCACAAGTGCTGAAGGCATTCTTTTACCTCAAGTTTACGCTAACCTCGCTCGAATAATTTCAGGTCCGAATACCTGGTATCTTGACAGTTGCTGCGGTTGGCACATGTGCTCACCAGAAACAAGCTTCATCACCAATCAGCGTTCACTTCGTCGTCCGATACCTGTAACAGTCGCAAATGGACAAACCATTATGGCACGAGCAGTTGGAAGCGTGATGCTCGAATCTATCGACACGGGATACTCACTTCATGTTACTAATGTTCTTATCGTCGCCGGTCTTGGCTTCAATCTTCTTTCCACGGCTCAACTCCTGGCACACAAAATACGCACACAGGGCAATTGTGACACGATGGATCAGGAGCTCTGGCACAGTTCGACGAATACTTATCTTGGTCGTGCCGCCACTCAACATGGCGTATCCGTTCTTCAGTTCGCAGCACAGGGAACTTCTGGCAATTCTGAACGAGTGCTTGCACTTGGTCCCTGGGATCACCCAGAAGAAACAGATTATCAACACGTGGACATTGACTTTCGAGCAACAACTGTACCAACAGCTTCTCGAACTGCAGCCGCCGTACTTACCGCGTTAGATACCTGGGAGTTCAATACAGCCGATGAAGGCGCCAACGCTTGGCGAACTTTTTATAATACCCGTGCAGCCTTCCAAGGAACACCAGCACCACTTTGGGGAGAGATAAGTGGTCTTGCAGCTGATGAACCTGACGTTGTTGAAGAAGCCGGACAAGAAGACGTAGCTGAGCAGCCAAGTCCAACAGCAGCGGTCGCCGACATACCTGCCACGACACCAACAGAAGCAGTGTCAAAAGATATACTCGCAACTGCAGCAGCACCAACAAATGTCACGTTACCTCTTAACCTTTTTGTCGACGGAGAAATTGACAAGTCACCAGCTCTTTCTCCTTTCATTATTTCTTCTTTTTATACGAACTCCGATTTCTACCTGCGATCAACAGGACACAAAGCCACAGAAGATATATGGCATCAGCGGTTAGGACACCCATCACAAGGGATTCTTAATCATTCAATCCGAGCAGCAGTTCTTGATAAAAACAGTTTACTTTTACCTGATGGCACAAAGATGAAGCCGCAGTCCCGTCCGACGGTTTGCATCACTTGTCCAGTTGCCAACCTTACGCACGATCCGTTTCCTAGTCATTTTCCTGGCTCAACACGTTATAAACTGATGCAGAAAGTCTACAGTGACATACTCAACTTATCTGAAGCAGGACCTAAAGACGAGAAGTATGTGATAACTTTCATCGAAGCGTCTACACGCTATGTCTGGACAGCAAACTTACCCGCACGGCATCTCGCTCACTCCGTCTTCGTCGCATGGCTCGCTGTCGCTGAACGAGAGTCAGGAGTGAAACTGCAAGAATTTCAGAGTGATGGTGCAAGGGAGTACACCAGCAACACCTTCACAGAGTACCTTCAGACACTCGACGTCAAACGGAAGCAGTCCCTGCCACATGCACACCAACAGATGGGGGTCGCAGAAAGGATGAACAGAACTCTGCAGGAGAAGATGCGTGCTCTGCTGACGCAGGCAGCTCTTCCACCGCATTTTTGGCCGTATGCGATGGACCACGCCGTGCTGTTACACAATCTTCTTTCTTCAACGTCCCTGCCCGAGTTCTCTTCTCCACACCTGCAGTGGACACGTACAATGGGAAGCACAAAACTTTTACGAGTTTTCGGGTGTGTTGAACAGTTTCGTCCTCCAACCGCAGCACTCGGAAAATTTTCCGAACGAGCAAAATGGGGGGTACATCTCGGCATTGAAAAAGCAGTATCACGCGTGGAAGATTTTGGATCTCCGGTCCCATCAGATCGTTCCCTCACGTGATTGTCTTTTCTATGAAAGACTCACCTTGCCCGTTTTTCGTGCCCACCAGGCAGCAGCTGCCAACCCTGCCAGGCTGTTCGAAGGCTCGCGTGCATTTGCAACTGACGACGCCGAAGCTGATGTTCAGGACGAGGATGTTTCTGAGGCTTCCGAAGCTGCCGCAACAGACATTCCCGAACCTGTTACCTTGACTGGCATACCTGAATTCATTCCTCTTGCAGATGCTGACGAGGATGATGTTCGCGAAGTTCATCTCAGTTATGAACGCGATCGCCAACAGCAGCCGATGCCCGTCGTCTCCGACGAAGCAGTTCGTGTTACACCTGATGAAATTGGTGGGGAAGAAGGACCGTAATCTCCGACTTCGACAAATCGACGTATCGAATGATTTTCTCTACGCGCCTGTCGACGCACTTATCCTGGTAGAGTACCCGCATTCCTATACTACTAACCCACCGAGCATTTGCCGTCTCCGAAAATCCCTATACGGCATTAAACAGGCACCACGGCTCTGGCAGCAGTATCTCCACTCACAACTGATCGCTGCCGGTTTTCGTCAACTACCGCATGACCAGGGAATGTATCTACTGACCGACGACAACAACTATATTTTACTCGTCGCCTACGTCGATGACATCCTATTCGTCAGTACTACCGATTCCCTTGCCGATATCTTCATACTGAAATTACAAAAAACTTTACAGCTTACTATCTCCGAAACAGTCTCACAGTTTCTTGGCCTGAACATTACCTGTTCACCGACAACTATTCATCTCACCGCTTCGAAGTATGCAGCAACACTCGCTGCTCGCTTCAACCTCCTACCTACTGCAGTCTCTACACCTTACCGTTCACTACCGACTGACCACAAACCGAACACCGCACTGTTAACTTCAACCGGTTTACAGATCTATCAACAGCAGTTAGGCTGTCTACTCTTCGCCGCTGTCACTTGTCGTCCTGATCTAGCCTATGCGGCCAGTCAGCTCGCTCAGTTCCTACGCCGTCCTGAGGAAGAGCATCAGCTTGATCTTCTCCGCACGCTTCAGTATTTCATCTCGAAACCTGACGTCGGTCTAGTCTACAACGTCATCGGTTGTAAAACGCTCTACCTACATGGTTTTGTCGACGCCGATCACGCTGCTGATTATACTAATCGACGGTCACGCACTGGATTTATCTATCGGCTTGAACCTATCGGGCCTATCTCTTGGAATTCAACAAAGCAGGAGTTGATTGCTCTCTCCTCTGCTGAAGCAGAGTTTATTGCTGTCTGCACAGCAACACGCGAAGGACTTTACTTACAGGAACTATTGGAAGAAGCGAAGTTGACGACAACTACCCAGTTTACCCTACAGTGCGACAATCAAAGTGCAATTCGCATCGCACATCAACCTGGTTTCGTCAACAGGACGAAGCATATTTCGCTTCGTTATTTTTTCGTCAAAGATGAAGTCGAGAAGGGGAGGATGCGATTGGTCTACTGTTCGACCAACGAAATGGCTGCCGATTTTCTCACGAAGAAGCTGACACGACAGAAGTTTCAGTACTGTAACAAGCTCTCCGGAATCTTCAAGAAGTGACACTATCGAAATTCCAGAAATGAAGGGGAGTGTTGTGATATAATTGATACTTAGCATTTCTGTAAGTCGATTAAGTGTAGTTAGTGTCGAATCATACTGTAGAAGATAATCCTAAAGAAGCTTAGGACACTAACTAAACTTAGGAACCTAGCTTAGCTAGGAAGGAAGGAAGGACGCCATGGAATGGCGTGAGGCAAGTAGATCTAGGAGTAGGCAAAAGTGACAAGAAAGAAGAGAGTTGGACTAGGAAGAGAGAGAGGTACAAGGAGGGGATTTATCCCCTCTACAGTAGGATGCAGTAGCACAACTACCAAGCCTATAATTATATAAAATATAATTTGAACACACCCCCTAGGCTTGGTAGTGGCAAGCCCACTCAACCCACACACACACCCCCAAACCCCGGACCCCCTCAGTCTCGTGAGCAGCCGGGTATCGACCCCTCATGCTAGGCGATGACACCCCCGGACGAGAGGCAGCTGGCCGCATCTGGGCGGCCTCAATGACGACAGCGGCGGAGCTCGTGCTCAAGGCGGCTGCGGTGATGAGGACAGGCGGCGACTGCGGCGGCTGAGGGCTCTCGGCGGTGTGGCACGACCTGGCGATGACCGAGCCGAAGACAGCAGCTGCGGCAGGAGGGAGAGGGGACACAAGGAGAAGAGGTGGGACGGGGAGGAGGGGCGGATGGCGGCGTGTGGGCGGCGGCAGCGTCACCGGCGTCGCACAGTCGGCTGCAGCCCGACGGCGCCGTCAAAGAGCGGCGTCGGCACTGCAGCGGGACGTCGACGCCGCGACGTCAGCACGACGGCGCCGTCACGCCGCCACGGCCTGACGTCGGCGGCGTCGCCGCGGCTGCGTGCTACGACGGCCGCACCAGGTGATGCGCGACGGAAACAGGCCGACGACACCACACAAAGGCCGCCGCGGCATCTTGGAAAAGATGCCACGGCGGCAGGCACCAGGAAGGCCGCGACGGCGGCAAACAGGGAAGTACGCAGCGGAAGCGACGGCACGATAGCGCGACGCCACGGCAGCGCGTCGAGACGGCCGCGGCACAACGCGGCCAGCGGCACGACACGGGCGCCATGGCAGCGCGAGAAGCGTGAGTAGGCGGTCCAGTAGGGAGGATCTCCTGCTCTGATACCATCTTAAAGAAGCTTAGGACACTAACTAAACTTAGGAACCTAGCTTAGCTAGGAAGGAAGGAAGGACGCCATGGAATGGCGTGAGGCAAGTAGATCTAGGAGTAGGCAAAAGTGACGAGAAAGAAGAGAGTTGGACTAGGAAGAGAGAGAGGTACAAGGAGGGGATTTATCCCCTCTACAGTAGGATGCAGTAGCACAACTACCAAGCCTATAATTATATAAAATATAATTTGAACAGATAAGTCCGTAGGATGACGTCAGCAAATAGCGCTCGTCATAGGACAGTCGTTTCAGTCACGCGAACAGTCGCACCTCTTCATTATCATCTAGGGCGCATAGCGCGATAGTGACGAACAGGTACATTAGCGAATAGGTACTTTTCGTAGAACTATAAATACTTGTTAGGACTTTTCATTATTAACTTTGATTACTCACAAGTTCACGTACTCGGGTTATTCAACCTTGACCTTGGTGTTTTACAAGACTTCCGCTGTCTTACTAGTCTACCATTCCAGCAAAGATCTTGGACCAACACTTGAGGATTTGCCAAGTGTTCGTGTTTACAGTTTTATACTTAGTCTACTACAACATCACACGATTTATTTCACATCACACGTGTTTTACCGTCACGATTGACTTCCGCAAACTTTCCCCATACCGCTGAATTCTCGTTATCAGATGACTCGATATGTTTTGGTTCACCTCTCGGGCCGTTTTTCCGGTGAACTTATGAGGGTTCCGTTTATACGACACTCAAATGCCCCATTTTTTTCCGTTTATAAGGTAAAATGCAGTTTTGAATGGTGTTATGTGATAAGACCCATAGGTCTTATATCCGGGCTTTTACGGTAGCTGGCCTAGCTAGGTTATGCAAACATATCTAACCTAACTAGAGATTATGTTTGTTGACAGGATTAAGGTTTGTTGATTCATTGACATTGACATTCACAATTCAAGACGTGGAATAAGACAGTAAGAGTGGGTTCAGCAAGTACTGCAGCTGCAGTTTTTCAATACCAGTGGCCATTGGGCCTCTTAGGCAGCCAGCCTTGGAGCTGACTCTGGTAGAAGTCCCAATGCTTGGTGTCTGGCGATGGCAGGCGCCATGGGATGGGAGGGCGGGGGACAAGAAATGTCGGATTGAAAAGGAAACGAGAGGAGAAACGAGACAAGGAAGAGCAGGGAGTAGGTGTTGGTGGTGGTGAGTGCGTTCATGCCCCTGTGACGAAAGTCACAGTGCCATGTGCAACGTGCTTACTTGGCTTGTTGATTTTAAGGGACCAGAAGAACCAGCCCGCCTTGGCAGTGCCCAGTGTCTGCATCTGTGCGAGGGAGAAGGCGGTCTGCTCGTCGGGTGTGACGGGGCTGTACCCCATGGCGTTGGAGAACTCGCCCACCAGCAGCATGCGCCCGTACTGCACCACACAAGGGGAGGTGTGCACGAGTGCCAGGGGGGCAGGGTGAGCGGCAGAGGGCAGAGAGGGAGAGAGAAGAAGGAGGTCCATCATCAGGAAGACATGCCTGGCAGGCAGGCAGGGAAAGGAGCAGCCATCTCTAAGTGCTACAGCCGGAGGACAGGCAGCAGCTGCAAGCGCACCCACCTGCTGGTGCTCTGCGATTCTCTCCTTCCTGGAAGTCTGCATCTCGTATATCTCCTGCTGCGCGGAGCTGTACCCGCCGGGGCTGAACACGTCGTACACGTGCGACTCCAGGATCACGTTGGGCTCGCCCGCCATGAGCGACTGCACGTCGTCGGGGCCCGTCTGCCCCTCCATGGAGATGTACACGCACGGGTTCCACCGCCGGATGATGGCCGTCGCATTCACGTAGTAGCTCTGGGGGAAGAACGGGGGACAATGGAGCGGCAGCAAGGGGTATGGAGTATCAAGTGTGAAGCTAAACTTCTTAATTGGCTGATTTGCTGAACGGGGAAACACATGGATCCTGGCTCTCCCCCCCTTCACAGCACCCGCCCCACCTCTCATCGTTTGGTCCCGTTACCCCCAAGGCCCACAGTCTGACACACCGCAACGTGCCCTAGCCATGGCTGTACCATGTCCCCACCAGCCCACCCACCACCCACCACCCTCTCCCCCTTTCCCCTCCACCCCTCCTCCAGTCACCTTGAGCAGATCCAGCGGCACACTAAGGCTGGGCTCATTCATGAGTCCGATGCCCAGCCACATGGGATGGCGCCCGTACCGCTGCGCCAGCCACCGGATGGCGCCTAGTGTCTTGGCCACGTTGCGCGGGCGCGGGAAGTCCACGTAGCCCAGACGCGAGCCAAACGTGCCGGACTGCGTGCCCGCCACTACGTGCATGCTGAACCAGATGCGCACTTTGTACTTGACAGCCATCTTGAACGCCCAGTCTATGTACATGTAGCTGCCCCACACAAAGGGCCAGTCGGGGCTGGGCTCCTGCGCCATGTAGTAGGCGATCGGGATGCGCACGGCGTTGACACCCTGCCGTGCCATGGCGCGCCAGTCCGCCTCCGTCACGAACGTGGAGCGCTGGCTGTTGATGCGCATGGCCGCCTGCGACCCCCACTGGTACGCCAGCTGCCAGTCATAGCGCAGCTCCTTCAGCTGATGCACGACGAAGGGGGGGGGGGGGGGGGTGGTTTGAGGAGTTTATACGGGGGGGTTGAGTTTAGGTGAGTAGCGAGGAGGGAAGGAGGGAGGGAGAGGCAAAAGCAGGGTGAGTGAGAGGTGACGCAGCAGCGTCATGTATGTGGGCCTTGGTAGCAGCACAGCAGTGCGAGCTCCCAGGCCAGCAGTGACACGTGCTCCCTGCCATGCCCCGCGCATGCACGCCCAACCACAGCTGGCCCATCACTAGCAGCTCTGCGCGCACCGGCGTGAAGCGGAAGGCAGCGGGGCCATTCCAGAAGGCGGGGTCGTTGAGGTTGCCGGAGTAGTTAGCGATGAGCGTGCCGTCTGACAGCGCCTGCAGCAATCGCCCATTGGGCGCCACTATGGCCACCATCGTGCGGTCCGACGCACGCCGCCGGAACTGAAAGCGCGTCTGAGAGGGAGAGAGAGGCGGGAGACAGGTGGCACGACAGAAAGATTGGCAAGGAGGAAGGGGGAAAAGGGGAGGATGAGGGCAGCAGGTGATGGAGAGATAGCTGCACGGTGGATGGCTGGCACGTGCAGGGGACGGCAACAGGGCCTCATGGTACTCTTAACAGGTGCGGTTTCTCCTCCCGGCCAGGGCAAGGACCTTTGTGGTAGGAACAGCTGTGGTGAACGATTCATGGCGAGAGACGAGGCAGTTGGTAGGGCGCGAGGAGGGCAGGGAGCACTGACCCGCGCACTGGGCGTGAAGGCGTCGGCGTAGGGAATGGCGGCGGTGGCAGGCAGGTGCCAGTACAGGCGCTCCTCCGCCAGCAGCTGGGGGGAGAGGTAGTGCATGGGGGGCCATAGGACACAGGCACGGGGTGCAGCACAGGGGGTGTTGTTTGAGTGAGAGTGCAGGAGAGGCGGGAAGAGAGTGGAGGGAGAGAGCGGGGAAGGGTGGGACGTGGTAGCAACAGGCAAGCGTGCAGGAGGTGGTGATGTGGCGCTGACATGCATGAACACGCATGGGACTGGGGCGTGCATGGGATTGGGGCTTGCACGGGATTGGGGCATGCATGGGATTGGGGCTTGCACGGGATTGGGGCATGCATGGGATTGGGGCATGCACAGGATTGGGCCATGCACGATATTGGGCATGCATGGGATTGGGGAATGCACGGGATTGGGCGCAGGTACCTTGAGGGGCAGCAGGCTGGATGGAAGGGCAGAGGAGTGGAGCAGGTGAAGGGAGTAAGTGCGGGAGGTGGCAGGGCAGGTCTCACATGGTAGGCGTCCTGGTTGGGCGCCTGCGTCTGCACGATGAACGTCTCAAAGTCGCCTGCCAAGTCCGCATCACACCGCAGCTGGAGGGCACACAGGCAGGTGGCAGGGAGCAATGGAACAATGGGGAGAGGGAGGGAAGTGCGTTCAGAGAATGGTGAAAGATAAACAAGCATGTGCCATGGGATCAGTGGTGTGTGGTGCTGTGCTGTGCTGTGCGGTGCGGTGCAGTGCTTACCCATCCTCCGCCTCCTTGTGGAGCGGTGACGTACTTGAACACTTTGTAGTTGAACAGAGTCATCTGAACGTTCACACACAAAACAGCACACACGGGAAAAGGCCGTCGCCCCTAAAAAACTGTCAGAAGGCATTTTGTGGCTCTGTGCTCGAGGGGGAGCGTGTGGAAACAAAGCTCAGCATCGCCTTGCTGGCTGGTACATCGGACGTCAGCAGGGGCGGGTGTTGGCTCCCAGCACAAACCGCTCTACGTCAGCAACCAGCCAACCAGCCTCGGCTTTCCCGCACCCCACGCCCCCCACCTCCCCCCCCCACCACCCTGCCGCGTGGCAGAATGGCGTGCTAGCATGGCACGCGGAGTGCGGTCAGCGGCAAGGCGCACCTTGGTGCCGTCGAGGATGTTGGAGTAGCGCGGGAAGGCGTTGGGGTCCATCCACTGCTCGTACACGAGCCAGCTGCCCAGGTTCACCCCGCGCACCGCCGGCACCGCCTTCACCTCAACCACCTGCATGCGCCCAAAGTTGCTGCGATTCGTGCCGCCCACCGTCACCTGCAACAGTGGGCACATGACACAAGGGCAGACAAAGGGGATGACTTGGTGGGTGAACGAGCGAGGGTGATGAGGATGGTATTGAGGCCTATGCCGTCCTTGCAACGGGCTGTGGCAAACTAACACTGTCAACTCTGCGTCCAAACCCCCCTCCTCCAGCCCCCCCACTCACCCCGCCTGCGCTTTCTGCCCCTCTGACTGTGGCCAGCCACTGCCCAATGCGCACCTGGCCGTTGGCGCGCGAGCGCACGAAGGAGCGCGCGAAGGGCGAGTAGAGGTAGGAGAAGCGGCCGATGCGCGACACCTGGAAGACGGTGGCAGGGCTGCTGGCGCTGGCCGTGGTGACGAGCGGCGGGCTGCTGTAGCCTTTGGGCGTGCTGCCCGCCACCGCCACGTACGTGCCCGCGCGCGTCAGCAGCTTCACCTGCCGCCACGCACAGGGGGGATGGGGGGTTCGAAGGGGACAGGAGGCAGGATGAGGAGGAGGGGCGAGGAAGCAGGAGGAGAGGGTAAGGAGGAAGGGGGAAGAGGTAGGGGATGAAGGAGGAGGGAGGGGGGGGTGGAATGGGGGCGGAAGGGAAATGGAGGAGGGAGGAGGATGAGCGGGGCCCAAGGCAGAGTGGATGCAAGGGATGGGGACAGGGTGAGGCATTCCAGTGAGAAAATGATAAATCTATAAAACAAAATGCTTGTAGTAAGAGAGGTGTGCATGCAAGATTCAGTTAGCACAGGCCCATGGTACGCCTTCCACACCCTCTCCCTCTCCCTCACCCTCTCCCGCACCCACTCTGTTGGCCCCACCTTAACCACCACAAAAAACTCTCAGGAGGAGGAAGGTGGGGGAGCCAGCGAGGGGAATCAGAATGGATGCAAGAGATGGGAACAAGGAAATGTATGTGAGGAAATGAGCCGTTTTGAAAGCACGGGTCGAATGCATGGTATGCGACACCACACCCACCCCCTCAGCCAATCCACGAAGTAGCCACACCGTTGGGCCATTGAGCACTCACTCTGTATGCGCCCACCACGACCACCAGAAAGTACTCCCGCACGCTGGGCTGCCCTGACCCGCGGCTGCTGATGGTGCTGCCCGCCTTGCCCAACCCGTCAACGCGCCACCACGTGCCGAACGTCGACGCCTTCAATTGCACCTGCCCATGCGGGACGGGGGTCAAAGAGGGAGGGCAGGGACGAGAGGGAGACAAGGAGCTACGTGGATGGACAGGTAGATTCCCATGGCTCGTCACGCAGCTCTCTTCGTTGGCCAAGTCTGCCTCCCACAGCCACTCGCTTCGCCTCTCCACTGCGGCTTCCAAAACACCCGCCTCCCTCACTTCCTCTGATCCTCTCTTCCTCTCGTGTCCTCAAGTCCTCGCGTCATCCCCCATTTCCCCCTCAGTTTCTCCCTATCCAGCGCCCCGTGCTGTTCGTGCGCCCCTTCCTCCTTCCCCCCCCACGCACCCGTTGCCCCGTGAGCCACGTCTGCTGGTACCACGTGGACACCATGGCGGGCATGCCGCGCGGTATTCCGCCGGGACTCGCGCTGCAGCACGCGCCGCACTGCCGCGCTGCCAGCACGCGCTCTGGGGAGGCGGGGGAAGGAGAGGGAGGGGGGAGAGGCGGGGTGAGGGGCAGGTCGAAGAGATTGAGGTGCGCGAGTGAGCGGGGTGGGCTGTCGTGTGCGACGGGGCAGCAGGGAGGGTTGCCACAATTGAGGCTCGGGAAGTGTGGGGTGGAGCGGGATGGGCGCAGGAGGCGCGGCATGAGCGAGCACGGGCGCAAGGCACGCAGCGTGCGGTGGTCTCCGATGCGGCGCGCATTACCTCCGCGGTGATACGCGAGGAAATTGCGCAGGGAGGAGAGCGGGCGACTGACGCGGGGGCGTGCCGAGGCGGACTGAGGCGAAGCGAGCGCGGGGCAAGAGGAAGGCAGACTGCACAGGGGGGTGGGAAGGGGAGCAGAGGAGGAGCAGGGTGAGAGAATGCAGTGGGACGGGAGAGCAAGGGGAATGGCAAAGAGCGCAGTGTGCGGGTGGCGTGACTCCTCTCCAACACCGCCACTAGCCCCCGCTGGCCCGAGCGAGCACATGGTAGTGGAGCACACATCCACGTGCTACGGCGCGTCGCACCAGCAATGAACGATCACATCATTCCGCGCATGCCGCCACTCCCCTCTTGTCGCGCCAAACGCTGTGGGCCTGCCAGCCCACTCTCCGATCCCACCCTCCCTCCCCCCCCCCCCCCTCTCCCTCCTCCCTTTCGCAACTCTCTCCCTCGTCCCGCGCATGCCCTTGAAACGGCTCGCCCCAGCGGCCAGCCGTGTCAAGCCCCTCCGCTCGAAGACGGCGCAGCCCCTTCGCCCGACGCTGGCACCCCTGAGCGCCGAGTCGAGCAGTGGAGGCGACGACCCTGCAGGAGGGGCATCCCGCCCCCATGGCGCTACGAGGGCCGTACCTGCCCACGACCATGACAGCCGCCAGCACGCCCACCACGCCGCGCCAAGGAAATCCGCCGCCGCCGTCGGGCGCGCGTGCACTGCGAGTCCTTGCCATGATCCTGCCCCTCCCCCCCGCGCGTACCGGCCGCGCCGTGGCAGCCGAGCAATCCCCGCAGCAGCACGGTGAAATCGCGAGGCGCGTCTACGATTCGCCTCTATTCGCGCGAGGGAGGAGAGGCGCGAGAGCGAGAGGGAGGAAGCGAAGGGGCGAGAGCGCGGATGGATGCTGGCTACGCCGGTACATGACTCATGCGGACGACCGACGCGGAGCGATGAGGGGGGTGTAGCTGGGGAGGTCGATTGGGGACGGCGGACAGTGAATAAATCAGACTCACACTCGGCACGCGCACACTGCTGGGAGCTCGTACTCCGTCTGTCAGGGGAGAGCGCGTGGCAAGAGCAGTCAGTCAAGGCGTTTTAGGATATGAGCAGAAGTTTAACTTAGTAGTTCAATTTCAGAACAGTCAACAGAGGGATCTCACGAAAATGCCTTGAACGAGTGTCTGCTTTGGTTCAGGGCACCAACTTGCGGTGGTCACAGGCAAGAACGACAACAGCTCTCAACAGCCGAGAAATTAGCGCGAAAGCGTGAAGGGAGTGGGTGTGGTATGGTGTTGTGTGGTCTTGTATGTTCTCGTGTGGTTTGATGTGGTTCTGTATGAGGGTGTTCCCACACCTTCTCAGGGGGAAGGGGGAACTCAGGGGCGTGCGTGTAAGAGGAGGGAAAGCGGCAAGATGGATGGATGGATGGATGGATGGGATCGTGGGAACGGTACTGTACGGTGGCTCGTTGACTCCCGCCACAACTAGTTGGCGGAAGCAATCGGAGGGTGGTCAACGACTGACGACGCGGTGCGGCTCGTGCACCATAGCTCGCCGCACCTTTCAAAGCACATCCAGTCCGACAACGCACGGAAAATCGACGGCTGATAAACGTCGACACATAATGGCGGTGTCTGCTGCACTAGGAAAAATCTATCCCCCCTCCTCGAAGTTTCATTTCCTGGCGGGTCAGTCCCTGCAGCGACGTGAAAACAACCGTTGCGCCGCGGTGTCAGTTACAAAGAGCCAGGTGTTATGAATTGACATTCATAGGGGGCTTGTAAGGAATTCCGATTCCGTACTGGGGCTCGCCACAGCGAGTACACGCGAACAGCTCGTGTCCGCAGGCTCGGCCCTCAAGTCACGCGCCAAACCAGCCCCCGTCGAACTATTCGGCCCCAACCTGATCCCGAGTCGCCCCGAACCCATTTTGACCCCGTCACCCTCGGGACTAACGAGCCTTTGACTGGTCCAAACCTCGACATTCAACCCTGGTCAACTCGCAATATATATAAGCCCTAGGCCTCATTATTCTGGACAATTCTGTAATCAATTTCCCCTATAGTATTCTGCGCTATACTCTGAGTTATAATTCATAACAACTGGTATCAGAGCTACGTTCCTGCCCATTAGGCTTCCGGTAGGGGAGCAGGCCCTATCGGGGAAGGGGTCAGAAGGATGCTAATGGCGAGCGGACGTCGCGGAAATTAATTGCGCGGGCGTTGCCGATGCCGTCAGATCCTGTCCGATGGACGGCTGGAATTGGCCGGTCCTCCCATTCCCTGGGCATAGACGGAATTATTTCCCGTCGAAGAGTGGGCGACGTTTTCGCCGTGTTTGACGGGTACGCTCGTTAGAGCTTTCGTAAATTTCGGGTGCTCGGACGGAGTCTTTGGATTGGCTTCCGAAAAAAACGAAGGCTTCGTAATGAGGAGACAAGTGCACGGGAGTCCTCAGCCGGTCGGGAGTTGGCCGTCAGGAGCGCGCGGGGTGGCGAAAATGACGGGATGTACTGCGATGTACGTCTGAGACGCCAAGCAGCGGCAGGGTGAACTATAGCTGTGTCGCGGGTCCCGGCGTTTCCGGCAGGCTAGTTGCAGCCTATGGACAGGACTTCAACACTATTTCGGCAATGGGCGGATCCGACAATTTCGGAAAGACACGATCGCACAAGGACGTGTGGGTGTACACTTGTGTAGGAGCATTTGGGATTAACGACCTCGGCGCTATTCACCACGACGACCATCTGGAGGTGATGACGCTGTGCTGGAGTGATTGTACTCAGCGAGGGCGACTTCCCGCGTGGGGAGGCGTTTTTCGTGGACCAGCGATTCATACCCCCACGATCAACGGAAACGGAGGCCACCACCCCTGGGTGTGTATTAAGTGTTTTTCCACCGGTCGCCGAATGCGTTAACTGTCAGGAGCTGAAGCAGTGGGAGAAGAACGACGGGAGTACTGGAAATCACCATTCCCACCAGGTAGCTGTGTCGACTTATTAATCGACGACATCTGATTGAATAAGGCAGGTGAACCTGCGAACTACACAGTGCTGATGGAGTGTCCCCGAAATTTTAGGAGTTACTGTTGCAGTGGAGCTGGGGGTTTTTACCTGGTGCAGCAGAAGGAGGTTCCGACATTTGCGGGTGTAGTTTGACGGGTTTTCGACGAAGGAGGGAGCTGTCCAGCGGTCAGTAGGCGAGCTCGTTAAAGCTCCTCTGACTAGAAGCGTGCGCACTCCTATCTCTGCGGATTCTCCTAGTTAGTTAAGCAGCAGCGAAGCGGTTTTGGGTAACCTGCAGCAGCCGCGAGATAGGTGAACGTCTGCACAGCCAGCTCGCAGGGGTACCAGCGTATTTTAAAGGTGGGTAACAGCTGGGCGCAGATCGACGGCGTATGATGCACTTGACCCTGATCGACGGCCAAAACATCATGCGGAGGCGGTGGACTACGGTTAACCCTAATATAAAGGGTTCCGTTCATGCGTACAGCTGGTGGAGAAACCGTAGGGGCGCTGCTAAAGGACACCGTGATGCCTGAGCATTTTTACGGGTAGCTGTGAAGCAGAGTTACGGTATTTGCTAAGTACCGAGTGGTTCCGACATTTTCGGTGGGTTTGAGGAACAATTCAAGAGTTTACGGCTGGAGTTGTGCCGGTTATCTTCAAGAGTACGAGCGACATCGACCAATATTTGCGGAGTGTGTTGGTTGTATGGAGCGGAGGGAGAGCAGTACCTGTTTCGGTTCTTCCCGATTTTTTCGGCGTGTACGGACAAAGAAGCTGATGCATCTGGCGTCATTTGACGCCGAGTTCTGTTCGAGGATATTTACTGGAGTGGTTCGGTACAGGTTACAGGTCATCGCCATCGTCGTATTCCTCTCGTCACTACCCGCTACCACCTCCATCGTCAATTCGCCTGATTCGCCCGACAATGTGAACTCGACCCTACTGCAAAAGCGCCACCCATCAAGAGCAGTATCACAACGAGAAAAGTTGGCAGCAGTACTGTTGGAGCTGTGTTGGGGCCAACTCGAAGCCGTATTTGACTTCTGAAGATTTTTTGAAGTTCATGTGGGAGTCTTCTGGAGAAGTAGTTATGGAATTTCCGGACCTTCGACGCTATTTACCCTGAAGACAATTTAACTGGAACGGATTTTGGAGTCCTCCTGATTCACGTTTTTAGTGGCTGGGATATATTTCAACGGCAACTTCGAAGCAGACTGATGGGACTTTCAGTAGCAGTATGGGATTATTTCGACTACCCTGGAGCATTGGGTTTCCTCTAGTTTTACCTGGGAACTTGGGGGCTGTTGCTTCTTAAAGGGGGGAGAATTACAGCTGTGCTGCAATTTTCCGTCAGACCTTGCAGCCTGTTCCATCATCCGTCTTCGAGCATCTTTCGTCACCGTTACGCTTCCGCGCCTAATTTCATCACTTTGTTGATGGAGTTCGCTGACTTCCGTGGGACACGGACGCGTGCTCTCGCATGTGACACGAACGACCTCGCGTTTAATGAACGGGTTCTTCATTTTATCGACCATCACGTTATTCGCTAGTCATCATTTCCAGATATTCAACCGCCACGCGCCATCATCAATCAACCACTTGACGGTTTCATTGTTCATTGTCTTCGGCTGGTGTATTTAACCTTGCCCGTTTGGTCACCACAAGAATTCGACCATCTTCAACGGCCGAGATTAAAAGCGATCGTTTCGACGCTTTCTGACCATCGATTTCAGTTCGACCTCAAGACCTCATCAGGCCGGCGTAATCATTATGCTCGTCACAGGGCTGAAGTCTTACAGTCACATAAGAGATTACTTGTAATGACTGTTTGGCCTCGATAAAGGGAGGGCCTTCCTATAGAAGGTGGGAGAGTGTAAGGTATTTCGATTCCTTACTAGGGCTCGCCACAGTGAGTACACGCGAACAGTTCGCGTCCGCAGGCTCGGCCCTCAAGTCACACGCCAAACCAGCCCCCGTCGACCTTTTCGGCCCCAACCTGATCCCGAGTCGCCCCGAACCCATTTTGACCCCGTCACCCTCGGGACTATCGAGCCCTTGACTGGTCCAACCCTCGACATTCAACCCTGGTCAACTTGCAATATATATAAGGCCTAGGCCTCATTATTTTGGACAATTCTGTAATCACTTTCCCCTATAGTATTCTGCGCTATACTCTGAGTTATAATTCATAACAGGGCTTGTAAAGAATCGTACACGCTTCAGCGAGTACACGCGAAAAGCTGGGGTCCGAAGCCCCGGCCCTCGGTTCTCACGCCAAACCAGTCCCCACAGACCTATTTAGTCCCTAACCTGATCCCGAGTCGCCCCGAACCCATTTTGACCCCGTCACCCTCGGGACTAACGAGCCCTTAACTAGTCCAACCCTCGACATTCAACCCTGGTCAATCGCCCTATATTTTGCCTAGGCCTCATTTCTATCGACACTTTGTAATCAAGTTCCCCTTATTGAATACTGCACTATACTCTGATATATAATTCATAACAGCCGGTATCAGAGCTGCGTTCATGCCCATCAGGTTTCCGGTAGGGGAGCAGACCATATCGGTGAAGGGGGCGGAAGGATGCTGATGACGAGCGGACGTCGCGGAGATGAATTATGCGGGCGTTTCCGATGCCATCGGATCCTGTCCAATGGACGGCTGGGATTGGCCGGTCCTCCCCTTCCCCGGTCATAGACGAAATTATTTTCCGTCGACGGGAAGGGGATGTTTTTGCCGTGTTTTCTGGGTACGTTCGTTAGAGCTTTTGTAATTTTCGGGTGTGCTGACTGCGTCTTTGGATTGGTTTCCGAAAAAAGTGAAGGCTTCATCATGAGGACACAAGTGCACGGGAGTCCTCAGGTGGCCGGGAGTTGGTCGTCAGGAGCGCGCGGGGTAGCGAAATTGGCGGGACGTATCGCGATGTACGTCTGGCATGCCATGCAGCGGCAGGGTGAACTGTAGCTGCGTCGCATGTTGTATCGGCGTTTCCGGCAGGCTAGTTGCAGGCGATGGACAGGACTTAAAAACTGTTTCGGCAATTAGCGGATCTGACAATTTCGGAATGACACGATTGCACAAGGACGTGTGGGTGTGCAGTTGTGTGGGAGCAGCTGGGATTAATGACCTCGGCGCTATTCACCACGACGGCCATCTGGA